AGAAACATCAATGATGAGAGAGAATCATTGATTGGCTGCCTTCTGCACGCCCCCTACTAGGGATCAAGCCCGAAACCCAGGCATGTGCCCTGGGCCAGAATCGAACGTGGGACCCTTCAGTCTGCAGGCTGATGCTCTATCCATTGAGCCAGACTAGCTAGGGCATGTTTGTTTGTTTGTTTGTTTTATAAGCTATTAGGAGTAAAGTTTGGAAGGTGTATGTGTGTAAAGTTATTATTAAAAATATATTTGTGTTGTCCTGGCCAGTGTGGCTTAGTTGGTTGGAGCATCATCCTCTTACACTGAAAGGTTTTGGGTTTGATCCTTGGTCAGGGCATGTATGGGAGGGCAACCGATTGATGTTTCCCTCCTCCCCTCCATCCCTCTCCCTCCCTATCTTTCTCTCCTTTTTCCTCTGTAGAGGGCATGTGCCAAGGTACCACAGGAGAGTTACATGATCATTAATGAACACAAATGGTTATGTAAAATGGCAATAGCATCCACATTGCACCTAGAACCACACTAAGCACATAGTTGGAACTTAATAAATATTCGTTGCATGAATGATAAATATTTGTTGAATGAAGTATAAAAGGAGACCCACCCAGTACATTAAAAATGGTCATATTATTTTGGGACATCTCTTAACATCCTCCTACTCTGCATGATGTCTCTATTGCTTCCAGTTTTGGTAAAACTATATGTTTTGAGGACCCTGAAGTTAAAAAGTGGGAGAACCTTTGAAAGGTAGGACATCTTAGGGGAACAGACTTCCTGGTGCCTGAAATTATTGTTTATCCGATAGCCTAAAGGTATAAAAAAAGGACTAACTATCTCAGAATCAAGGATTGGTGGCATCCAGGAAAGTCATTCAGGGCCCGAAGAAATAGCATTTGTAAAAGTGTAGGGCGGCATTTCTAAACGATGTTCTGTGAGACTTTGTTATACATTGATTTATTATCGTTTTCATAGAGGAAAATAATGTTTAGGGATCAGATAAGTTTGGGGTTTGGAATATGTTGTGTTACTAGATTCCCCATTCTTGGAGCTTCACAAGATACATTAGTAGTTTAAAAGCTTTGAAAAGTGCTATAAACAGCAAGAAGAAAACATTTCATTTTGTTTAATGTGGCACTTCATAGATCTTTTTTTTAAATTTAAATTTAAAAATGAGGTAAAATATATATAACATAAAATTTACCATCTTAACCATTTTCAAGTGTACAGTTCAGTGCCATTAAGTATACTCACATTGTTGTGCAAACACCACATCTATCTACAGAATTTTCCATCTAAATTACCCTTTAGAAAGTCCCATTTTTCTGAATCCCAGCCAACATTAATTTTAAACATCTTTAATCTTGTTACAACTGATGAGAGAAAATAACTTGTTTTAATCTGTGTTCAGAATATCTTCGTGTGAGAAATCAAATCTACCTTCAAATGATACTTTGCTGCTCTTTCGGTGATTTAGAACGTATTATTTGGTTTTGAAAAGTAGTGTTGCAATAAGGTGATAGTGTCCCAGGGTGACAATTTTGAAGAGCACATTGAAGGGCTCTGGTATTTGTGTTAACAGAAAAAAGGCAACCCTTTCCTTATAATCTCCCTTACACTGGCATGTTCATCTGTGTCTAATCTCTACAACAGAACTGTATAGTCCTTGGAAGTCAGGCAGCAACATTTTTTGAATTCCTGAAATGTATAAGATCCTTTGTTGCCAGAAGGGATGTGGTATTATAGCCCCTGTCTTTGAGACTTACAGTCTGAATCCTCAAGTGCTTGTCAGGGGAGGTGGAAAGCACATTTCCCAGGCATCCTGTGGGGAGCTCCCTACCAGAACCAGTATTGCCCTGGCCAGTGTGGCTATGTTGGTTGGGTGTTATCCTATGCACTGAAAGGTTGCCTGTTCGATTCCCAGGCAGGACATGTGCCCAGGTTGAAGGCTCGATCCCTGGCAGGAAGCATGCAGCAGGCAGCCAATCAGTGTTTCTCTCTCACTCCCTTCCTCTCTCTTAAAAAAAAAAAAATCAATAAAATTTTTTTTTTTAAAAAGAAGTGGTATTAAGTGCATTATTTGTTGAGTGAGTCATACAGTTTCCTCATGTATGAAGTTATAATGTATTAATAGAGAAGATATCTTTTCATGTTGGGGTGTTTTAAGGGCTTTGTTCTGTAAGGATAAAATTAGGGAGTTGGTGTGTGCCATCACAAGTGTTTGTCCATAACTCTCTTCTTCATAAGAAGTGATGGAGCAAGTCCATTTTCCTTGAAAAGATGGAGGGTACTTCAGTATACTTTTGTTGCTTTGCCCTTTGCCATTTGACTCTTCAGTGCCAGAACATCCATTGAGCGTGTGATTCCTCACTGAAGCCCTTGTTTTTACAGGGGAGAACTATTCAAAATCAAGGTAAAAGCACCCGCTCCTCTTTTGCTGACAACTAGTTGCCTTCCTTTTATGGGGTAGACGGTTATCGTTATTGCAGTGAGGATATTTGCAGCTCTGGTGATCTGTGATCCTATGATTCCGTTACAAAACAAAAACTCTCATTTGTAAGTAATTCTGTGGTTGTATAAATCTTTTTGTGGCTATATAAGAAGTTTTTCTTTATTTACTTTTTAAGTATATTTTTACTGATTTCAGAGAGGAAGGGAGAGGGTGAGAGAAATAGTAATCATTGATTGGCTGCCTCCTGCAAAGCCCCATTCAGGGGATTGAGCCTGCAACCCAGGCATGAGCCCCTACTGGGAATTGAACCGTGACCTCCTAGTTCATAGGCCGATGTTCAACCAACTGAGCCACACTGACCGGGCAGAAGTTTGTATTTTTCTAAGTGAAATTTAAATGTTCCCCTTTAGTTCTGTAATATTTTGTTTTGTTTTTTTGTTAATCCTCATCCGAGGATATTTTTTCCATTGAGTAGAAGGGAGTGAGGAGAGGGAGATGGAGAGGGAGAGAGAGACACTGATTGGTTGCCTCCTGCATGTACCCTGACTGGGGTCTGGGATCAAACCTGCTACCCTTCAGTGTGCAAGCCGGCGCTGTAACACTATCCAGGGCAAATTCTGTAATATTTTTTTGATTAATACATTTCAAATGGTGGGTTGACATTAACATTTCTGAGACTGACTGCCTCAGAAACTTGACACTTAGAGGAATCACATTGTATTCGGAGACATACTAGGTGTGTGTGAGGGTATAAAATTTTGATTCAGGGATCCCTTACTTAACTTTGCATTTCCCATTAGCCCCTGTGTAAAATAAGTACTCAGTGAATATATTTAGAAAAAAACTGAGATAATGTAATTCACTTGGTTAGAGATGCTCCTCAGTTAAACTCTTTCTTAATCTCAGTATCTTTACTTAAGAACCACCAAATGATGCCAATAGAATATATTACCAGACAGAACATTTTTAAACCTGTTAGCTATAATGATTTATTAACTAGATTTCCCCCATGTTCCATTTCTAGAAGAAACAAATGACAAGAAAATCTGGTGTTATATAGGTCTTTCTAAAAATAAATTCTAGGACTGTTGAAGGAACAAATTCAATCCAGCTTTCACATTGTTGTTCTAATGATTTTGGAGGACAGGGAGGTGACGCAGATGACCTGCAGAGTCCTCTGTCACAAAGGAAGCACACACTTGATTTACCTGCTGTGAATTTACTAGAGAAGGGCAAATTGTTGATGTTTTTTAGGATTACTTTAAACAAAAATTGAAAGCTGAAATTATAGCAGCTAATATTTAGTTATGTGCCAGGGACTCGTTTGAGCACTTAATCTGCATTATCTTCTATATGAGATTCCCATTTTATAAATAAAGAAAGAAAACAGGCTGAAAGAGGTTAACATTATTTTGACCAACATCACATAGCTAGCAAGTGATAGGGCTAGGAGCTGAACCCAATTTTGCCTATAGGGCCTTAGGTTCTTAACCACGGTTCTGTAATATTTTCTTTGTTGTGTATTCCCATTCAACTGAGGAGGTACCATCTTGTTCCCAAAATAAACAGCATTGCAGTTTTAATAGGGTTCAGGAAGCAGTTCTTATAATTAGGTTTCTAAAATAAGAAATTAATCTAGTAAGAGACAAGTTTGATTAATAAGTTTTATTTTAAAAAGCACAATACTGTCTTAAATCAGAAGAAAGGAACATGTATTTATTGAACAAAATTACTTTGGTAGTACATTTTTATAAATTTCCTAGTAACTCAGAAAGCATTGTCTATGCCCTATTAGATACTTCACAACCATATGATGGGGGAATGTAAACTGAAGAAATGCAGTTTAATACTTCAGCACATCGTTTGAGGAAAATACAACTTGTTCTTCTATCATCTTATAAAGTGATGAGAAGACTGCATGGAATAAAGGGAGAAAGAAAGAAAAGTGTATTATTTTAGCAGTACTTATATACTTTGAGTGGACTAAGGGGTTACTATTATTTGTTTTGCAAGAGAGCAAGCTATCCTCTCTTGATACCATGGAGACCACATTGACTAGAGCCTTAGCCCTTAGTGCAGTGGTTCTCAACCTGTGGATTGTGATCCCTTTGGGGGTCAGACAACCCTTTCACAGGGGTCGCCTAAGACCATCGGAAAACACATATATAATTACATATTGTTTTTGTGATTAATCACTATGCTTTAATTATGTTCAATTTGTAACAATGAAAATACATCCTGCATATCAGATATTTACATGACAATTCATAACAGTAGCAAAATTACAGTTATGAAGTAGCAACAAAAATAATTTTATGGTTGGGGTTCACCACAACATGAGGAACTGATTAAAGGGTCGCGGCATTAGGAAGGTTGAGAACCACTGCCTTAGTGCTTATAAGGATTTCCTTGCAGCTTAGACTTAATCCTTTTAGGCTCCTAGGTACAGGAATAAATGTTGATTTTCAAGGTAGCATTTTAACACATTGAATTTGTTTGAAAAATTATTCTGCCTTATTCTTAAATATTGCTGTGTACGTCATGTTTCTAGGTAGGTGAGCCTGTGAAACAATATGAAGAGGAGAAAATAGCCTTTTAAGGAAATTGGCCCACAGAAAGGATGGCCTTCTTGGACAATCCAACTATCATTCTAGCTCACATTCGACAGTCACATGTGACCAGTGATGATACAGGAATGTGTGAGATGGTTCTCATTGATCATGATGTTGACCTAGAGAAGATTCATCCTCCTTCAATGACTGGAGACAGTGGGTCAGACATTCAGGGAAGCAATGGTGAGACTCAGGGCTATGTATATGCCCAGTCAGTCGATATTACCTCAAGTTGGGACTTTGGTATTAGAAGACGCTCAAATACAGGTAAACATTGCCTTTTAGTCATGTCTTCTGAGCTTTACATCACTAAACAATCTTATAGAATAATGCATAATGTTGGACTAGATTTAATGGGAAAGTCTCAGTGTGTAAACAGGAGTATGCATGTATTAACACCAAGAATGGGTCAAAGCAGTATGTCCATCTCTACTAAATAGAGAGAGCCTCTGGAATGATGCTATTAGAAGTAGAAGAGATATAGTGAAAAAGTTGGCTATTAGAGGCATGTTGGATGTTCTATTTTCTAAAGTCTGTAGAAAGGGACTTGTTTAAGTATCTTCAACAAAGCAACATCGGTCCTAGTAAGTAGACTACTGGGAGGCAGATTTCAGGTTGACATAATACAGAACCTTTTTTCTTTTTAATACATTTTTATTGATTTCAGAGAGGAAGGAAAGGAAGAAAGTTAGAAACATCAGTGATAAGAGTAAAACATTGATTGGCTGCCTCCTGCACGCCCCCTACTGGGGATCAAGACTGCAACCTAGGCATGTGCCCCTACTGGGAATTGAACCCTGACCTCCTGGTTCATAGGTGGATGCTCTACCGCTAAGCCACACCAGCCGGGCAATACAAAACCTTTTAGATAGGCAGCTGACCAGCCAAGGAGGGCTGCTGCCTGAGACAGCTCTTGCCCTGGGAAGAATTGTAAGGGTTGGAAATTAGAAGGAGATAGCTGAATACTTACTGGGGCTGCTTTTTTAATAGGAATTCCTACATTGGGTGTGAGATTAGAAAAGGTGCTGCTGTTTTTGATACATTACCTTTTTTTAAGTTGATCTCTGCACTTTGATCTTTGTGGCTTTAAAGTACTCAACTTTGATAATATATATTTAGTCATTAGTTATTAAAAGCCTATCATTGCCCTTTTCCAGCTTTATTTTTTGGAAGCATTTCAAGGGAAATGTGATGAACCAAGGCCTTTACTTAGATAAATTATTTAGAATATATAATTGTTCTATATCAGGGTGTGCTAGGAGATCCTTTTTTTTTTCTTTTTTTTTTTTTTGGAGGGTGGTGGAATAAATCAGAAAATATAATCTAATCAATAACAGTAACCTGCTGCTAACTCACAAGAAAAGTAGTGGTAGGAGATGTGGTAGAACATTGAAAATACTTACACGAAGAAGACTGCAGGTAGAGCAGGTTGCAATTTACAGAGAAAGTCCTGTTAAGATTTTGCTTCACAGTTCAGTGTTCTGTGACATCCACAAAGAATAATTTGTTCTCATGATGAAAATAATGAATAGCATTTTCTAGTATCTAAAGGAACTTTTATCAAAATAGGATTTGAGTGAAGGTTTGACTATAATTTCGAACCATTGATTCTCAGTTCTCTAGTTGAAACTGACTTTCTTATAGGTTATTGAGATGATATCTTATATGACAGGTTGAATGGATTTCAGTAGGAGAATGCTGCTCAATTGAGAGCTTCATGATTATATTACTTCAGCTGTACGCTTCACATTTATTAATTGCAATTGAATGGAGTGGGATTTGGTTAGATATAGTGGCATTGTCAGAATGCTTTTGCCAGTATAGCTTACATTTCTGGCAAGATTAGTTTGTGTTTCCCTACCACAGTGTGTAAGGCAGGAGTGTATGATTTCCTGCCTTTGAGAAATCTACTTATTTATTTTTTTTGTTAGCATTGTGCCACAATAGGAAGTGCAATAGGAAACTAATTTCAAGAGATTGCATTAATTGTGACTTTCTTTTCCATTGTGGTCCATATGGATGTTGTTAATGTATGTTGGACAATATTATTTAAAAGATTGGTTCAACTGATTTTGCCTATGGTAATCAGCCTGTGGTAATATAATCACAAATGCATAATTTTAGGTGATGATTTGTTATTGTTGTTGGAATTTCTTAAGATAGCACTTATATAATTAAGATTGTGGGGTGTCCTGTGACTAAGGAATTTACTTTTTAATCCTTTCAGCATATCTTAAAATTTTGTATAAGAAAAATTGTTCTTTTTAAGATTTGACTAATGTTACAAAGATACAAATCATTTATTTTACTACCTATAAACTATTTCAGCCCACTGAAGAAAAGCTATGCTAATTTATATAGCTTTGACATTTTATAATTTTCATGATTTTTAGATAAAGGATTTTATATTTAAAACTTTAATAGTCTAGTCTGAGTTCATTTATCTTTAATTTTTGAAACGGGTAGAGTAATTCATAACAGTAATTTTATTCCTGTAATGTAATATTCACTTCAGTTCATTTGTGCATTAAAATTCCTTTAAGACCGTTATTAATGATTTATATAATGAAATGTCATATTAATCACAGAAGTTTTCACATTTTATTATTCTCTTCCATGTTAATACTATCTTTATGATCTCTATTAATGTTTTATATCCTCTAATTTCAATTATAAATCAAGAATATTTTCATGTTTTTGTTGGTATTTGCTTTTCAGGGGTGCCACCTTTAAAATTTTATGACTTTTTCCCTACATATACAATATAAAACATCTTTATTCATATAAAGGTAGTTAATTATGTCTTTGTTTATAGTAAACTTTCATTGACAAACTTATAGTTATAATATTTCTTTTCAAGCTCAAAGATTAGAACGACTTCGAAAAGAGAGGCAAAACCAAATCAAATGCAAAAATATTCAGTGGAAAGAAAGAAATTCTAAGCAATCAGGTAAATGGAAATAATTTTCATTGTTAATTTGAAATTTATATATTTGGTGTATATTATTATTATATAAGAGCTTTTCTTTTTAATTCATCCTTTTCAACCCTCTGGGTGGATACCTCTTGTGTTTTGAGATTTGAACTCTTCATTTGGGTGCCACTCTTCGGTCTGGGTCACAGGCACATTTTGTACACACTGTCGTGCTAGTACCTTGTTCTTAGAGCCAAGGAGAACCTATGATTTGTATGGGCCTCTGGGCTGTAGATTTCTCCTGGCAGTTCTAACCTAGACTTTATCTTGCCTTATTATGGCCCCAGAAACAATCTCTGTTGCATATATGTGAATTCTTTCCTTTAGCTTAAAAACCATTATGTTAGTGGCATTATTAGCATATGCAGTATATGTTCATATGATAATGTATTAAGAAGCTGGCCATATTATGTATTTTCAAAACTTCAATCTCAATAAGAGAAGCCATTTTAAAAAATTCCAAATAAAGTGCTATTAAAATATTTTCTAATGTTTATATCATGTTTCCTAGACTTTTTTTCTCCTTTCAAAGAAATGTCTGCACTCTGCCTTCTATACCTTCCCAGCACTTCCCATTACCACCCTGCATTTAATAAATGTCCAATAGTTTTTGTTGACTGACTCCAACTGTTATAAAATTAACAATCTTAATGATTACTAATTATCACCAACACCTATCTAGTGCTGTTCTAAGCAGTTCTTCTGCATTACCTCCAATGCACTGATCTTTTAAGGTGAAGGTATCATTGATTAGATGAGACAGATGAGATGGAGGCTCAGAGAGATTAGGCTTGCTAAAGTTCCAAGGCTAGGAAGTGGTAGTGCAGTACAGAGCCATGTTTTGCATCTAGCACTGTCTGCCTCTAAAGGCCAATCTCTCTCTGCTAAACCACACTATGTAAAGTGGTTCGTGCTTTCTCCTGTGAGTGTAAACCTGAGTGTGCTCAATGGGTCTGATTTTCATAATGGTTGCTTCTAAATGATGACCCTGTAGAACCAGAAATCCCACTCACTTCTCTTTTTTGCATCTCATTTCTATGATTTCCTATATATTCTTTTATATATATTAAAAATCTTTCGCCCTGGCCGATTTGGCTTAGTGGATAGAGTGTTGGCCTACAAGCTAGCTGAAGGGTCGAGGGTTCAATTCCAGTCAAGGGCACATGCCTCAGTTGCAGAAAAGGACTCTTTGGGAAGGTGATGGTTGAGCAGAGAAGGAGTGAACCACGCAGATATTGGAGATGAGTGTTCTAAGACAAGCGAACAGCAAATTTAAAGTTTCTGTGACAGAAGTGTGCCTGATGTATACCATGAATAGCAAGGAAAGGATGCTTATTGGTTGGAGTAGAGTAAGTAAGGGGAAGAGTGGAATCAGGGGTGTAAGTAGTAAGAAACTTGATCATGCAAGATCTTGTAAGAAATGTAATTTTTACTCTCAGCAAAGTGATTTGATCAAGTAGTAATGTGATATGTTATCTACTTTTTTATTTTTAGCTTAAATTTCCTTTAATACAACTTTTTATTATAGAAAATTTAAAACATATACAAAAGTAGAGAGAATGGCATAATGAACCCTCCATACTATTATTATAATACTAGAGGCTCAGTGCACAAAGTCGTGCACTTGGGGGGGGGGTCCTTCAGCCTGGCCTGTGCCCTCTTGCAGTCTGGGAGCCTTCGGGGGATGTCCACCTGCTGGCTTGGGCCCACTCTCCAAGGGATCAGGCCTAAGCTGGCAGTCAGAAATCCCTCTGGCAGCCCAGGAGTCCTGGGGGAATGTCCAACTAACAGCTTAGGCCCACTCCCCACCGCTTGGCTTGCCAGCCATGAGTTGGCTTCTGGCTGAGCAGCGCTCCCCCTGTGGGAGTGCACTGACCACCAGGGGGCAGCTCCTGTGTTGAGCGTCAGTGTGCGTCATAGCGACGCGTCATTCCGCCATTCGGTCAGTTTGCATATTAGCCTTTTATTATATAGGATTCTCCTTTTCCTCATCAGCTTTGTCTTCCAGATTTTTGTGGTAGGTGACATTGGAGAGTGTGAGAGGATTAAGATGTGGACCTTGACCTTGAGGAACTATAATTCCAAAATCACAGAATAGAGTCAGGAGAGATCTTCAAAATTATCTAGTTGTACAAGCCCAGAAAGGTCTAGTGAATTGTCCAGATTACACACCTGGTAGTGGCAAAGCCAGGCGAAAGCTTAGGTCCTCTAGCTGTGAATGCATTTCTTATAGAATGGCTGCTTTGTTGGTTTGTCTGACTCTATCCCTCCCACCCCACCCCACACCCAACTCAGTCCTTAAACCCTAGTTGAATTAACAATCCTGACCTGTGTGTTTTTTATTGAAGTGTATATGAAGCTTTTTTCCCACACATTAGACCTGAATATGTCCCTGGACCCTCCTTCCTTAAGGTTCCAAAGAAGACTTTAGGGAAGGTGGACTGGCTGTCTTTCTGTGTGTAATCACAAAGATGTTTCTATCTTCCTCTTGTATCACAGCCCAAGAGTTAAAGTCACTGTTTGAAAAAAAGTCCCTCAAAGAGAAACCTCCAAGTTCTGGAAAGCAGTCAATATTATCTGTACGCCTAGAGCAGTGCCCTCTGCAGCTGAATAACCCCTTTAATGAGTATTCCAAATTCGATGGCAAGGTAAGTAAAAATAAAACTTTGTGTCTTTTAAGTTCGTGATTTCCTTTCTTTTCTTTCTTTTTTAAAATATATTTTTACTTATTTCAGAGAGGAAGGAAGAGGGAGAGGGAGATAGAAACATCAATGATGAGAGAGAATCATAGATTGGCTGCCTCCTGTACACCTCCCCACCCCCACTGGGAATCGAGTCCGCAACCTGGGCATGTGCCCTTGACCAGAATCGAACCTGGGACCCTTAAGTCCACAGCCCGACGCTCTATCCACTGAGCAAAACCAGCCAGGGCAAGTCCGTGATTTTCAACCAGTGTGTTGCAAGAATTTTTGAAACATGTAATACTTGACTACTTAGGGGCACTGACCTCTTTTCCCTTAGGTTGTCAAAAAGACAACAGCCAACACAACAATAGCCTTCTGGTGTGAAAGCCCTATCTTGAACCATAAATTTATAGGTTATATGATAGAGTTGCATCTTGGTCACATTGCATAATAAGGTTGGTCTGATTGGTTAATTCTTGGTACCAGAAATTCTTGTATACACCTGATTATTTTTTAAAATGTTTTTATTGATTTTAGAGAGAGGAAGGGAGAGGGAGAGAGAGAGAGAAATATCAACGATGAGAGAGAATCATCAGTCGGCTGCCTCCTGCATGCCCCACACTGGGGAACGAGCCCTCAACCTGGGCATGTGCCCTGACCAGATATTGAACTGGGCCCTCCTGGTTCATGTGTCTACACTCATGAGCTACACTGGCTGGGCATAGGCACCTGGTTTTTAAAAAGTCACTTTGGAGCAAAAAGCGTAGGCAGTCATCATTATTATATCTATTTTTGTAAGTCAATCAAAATTATATCTGTTTTTTTGAAAATTGGCAAAAAATATATTTTTGGTGTGCTGCAGAATTTTAGTAATTAATTTATGTATGCCATGAGATGGGAAAGGTTGAAAATCACTGCTCTAAGTAAGAACCTCAACAAGTGGAATTATTGGTATTATTATGTTATTATTAGATTTGGGGTTTAAAAAATGACTCAGATAATTATAGAATGTCACTCATATTTTTTGAGGATGGAAAAAAGGTGTGAGCTGGGTTTAATGTTGTTTCCGTAGTAATATGTTTAGAAGGATTAAAACAAAACCAGTCCTGAGTTATGTATCTGTATTTTGTTTGTTTGTTTTCTTTTTTTATCTCCTAAGTGTACTTGAGGGTTTGGGTTAGTTGGGTTGTGATTAATCAAGGTCTAATTGTGTTGAAAGTGGTTCTGGGAGGCAGCATTGTCTTGTCTGATGCTGTATTTTAACTACAGGAATTATTAAGCTTAGAGCTTCATTTCAATATTCTAGGCCATTGCTTTGCTTGTCAGTATTTCATTGTAGGGAATCTTTTTTGACACTTGCTGTGCAGAGGACTTTTCTTATAATAATTCACAATTGTAACATTAGTTTATTTTCTTTTTAGCAAAATGGCCACTATTTTAGGTGGAGTATAGTTTCATGTGCACCCCCAACCCCCTGCTCCATTCCCTGCCATTCTGTGTTTCTGTGCTGAGCTGGGCCTTTTTCAGAAGACAGTAGCAGTTGATTTTTATATTTATTGCCATTATGTTTGCTGTCTGGCAGTGGCGTAGGGGTGCTGAGTGATAGCTTATTGCCTGGAGGGGTTGTGTTACAATTTGTCTTATTTCAACACCATTGCAATTAATAAACATACAGCTCTTTGCTTATGTTTGCATTTTTCATATTCAAGTTCTGGTTATGTGCTGCTTCTGTCAGTTGTCATCTTTGAGCAAGATGTTTTCTCTTCAAAACACTTTTACCTGCCCGGCCAGCATGGCGCAGTAGTTGAGTATCGACCTCTGAACCAGGAGGTCACGGTTTGATTCCCAGTCAGGGCACATACCCAGATAGTAGGCTCGATCCCCAGTGTGGAGCATGCAGGAGGCAGCCGATCAATGAATCTCTCTCATCGTTGATATTTCTCTCTCTCTCTCTCTCTCTCTCTCTCTCCCCCCCCCCTCCCCCTCTCCCTCTCTCTCTCCCTCTCTCTCTCCCCCCCTCCCTCCCTCCCTCTTTGAAATCAATAAAAATATATATTAAAAAACCCAAAACACTTTTACCTCATACAATGCAGCCTGTTTCCATAGGCTTAAGTGAGCATATATGGCCATCAGCATGTGAGGTTATTGATGTTGGTGGGGAAGAACAAGAACTGGAAACAAAATGCATAGGTAACATCAAGATAATAATATGCTCATAAACGTACTTTTAGTAAATTAGAGATTGTGTTGACTGATGTAAAGCTTCTCTTTAAGCCTGCCCTACTGCCTTCTCCTATTTCTTCTTGTGGAATGCAACAAAGAGAAGGAAGGGTCCCCCGAGGGGATAAGAATGTCAGCCTCTGGAAAATGGCGTGTTGGGCTGTAGAGGATTTTTTTTTCTTAAATACTAAGTTGATTTATTTAGATATGTGAGAAGTTACCGGGTTAGGTTACATGGTTGGAATTTATTTTCTTCCATTGCCTGAAACCACCTCATTGTTTGAGAATGTAATTGCTGAAATAATTAATATGCGGTACTGCTTTGATGCCAACAGAATAGCACAGATCTTTTAAAATATTATATTCTAGAATTGTCATCATCATCATACTATTCGATTCTTTTATATAAATATTTAGGTTTGAATTTGTCAGAAGGTTATGATCTCTGCTTGGTATTTATCTAAATTCTGAAGTAACAAGGAGAAATTTTTTAAAAACGTAAAGAAGCCATTTCTTCAGTCACAAAGGAATTATTTTTGCTAGATGTGTGTTTACACTTAAGGCTCTGGATGCGTTTGTCATATCAAGTCTCTTTGTGATCAAAGAATGTGGGGCAGTCACCATTACACATTGATTAAGAAAGATTTATATAAGTCTATCTTGTGATGAGATGCTATTTTATTATTACCCTGCATATTACAATTGCTAAAATATAATTAAACCCTTGTTCTCATCTATTATTTAATATTGATGCATTTGGCAGATATGTAATGAAAGTGGCTAATATTTGAAGGATATTGTACTGTACATATTAAATTAGTCTTTCTTTATCTTTGTGAAATGCATCAATATGATATTCAATGACATCTCAATGATTAATAGAGAATTATACTTGAGTCAAGCCTTTTTGTAACCTAGAAATTAAAATGACTATTCAAATAACACCTCAAAATGATCAAATTAGCATTTTGTGATTGCATAATAATGGGATTGTAGTAGTTACAAGAGCACCATGGCTGCCTCTGGAGTTAAGATCATGTCAACCCCTTGATAATAAAGCCTTTTCTGTGAGAGTCAACTTTAATAATTTCCAGATTGATTCTTCCCATAAATCATTTGATGTTCAGCACTAAATTTTTGTTGCTGTTGTAACTTAAAATTATTTTATTTTTATTCAGCTCATATTTAAGAAGTGAAATGAGTGTCCTTTTAAAATGATTCACCGTCTTGTCATTGAACACCATGCTTTTTACATCAAATGTAAGGTTTTCCCATGTATTTTTCAAAGGTTTGTTAAAGCCACTAAAATATGTAGGTTTTTTTCCCCCTATATTTATTCACAATGCTTTTCTTGGGAATAATGCTTGCCTTATTTACATAATTAACTGAGTTGCTTAGGTCTCTTGGGCAAATGGTACATAATTGGGGAGAGAAGAGGACAGGGAAGAGTTTGGGGTCTAATTAAATATGCTAAAAAACTACTTAATTATGTATTTCCTCAAGAGACTAACTGCTGTGAAATCCTCAAGATTAAGCTAGCTTTTGGTTTGAAAAAAGGATTTTGCTTTTGATATGGCTATACTATTATATTGTGGTTAAGCTAGCACATCTAGTTCTGATGGTTTGTGCAAACTAGATTGTTGGTGTTATTGATTCTAAGGGTAAGCATCTCTCAACTGTTGTGTTCAATTAAAACGAATACTTTCAAATAGTTTTTGGTTTCTGTAGCTGATTAATTTCATTTTTTAAATTGTGGTTGATTAATTTCTTGAAGGCATACAATTGAGAGGAAAGACTGTATTTAGGCATGTGCTTTGCTGTAATTTTGGCAATGTTTTTTATCAGGCTTATTATTATGTTTATATTATTTCTTGGGCAAATTAGTGGTATTACCTTTAGATTCATAGGTTATAAATAAGTCTATTTACTGATCATTTGAAAAAAGTCCAAGATAGATTGCAGTTGGTTTTAGTTGGACAAGGCAAAATGAGGTTCAACCATCTGCCCGAATTCTTCAGGTTTGTTGAAAACAGGACCTCTGAATTATTCGTTCATTAACGAAACAGAAACTCTGTTCTAGAGGTTGAGACAGTCAGAAAACTTCTTGTGCCCGTCCTGACTTCACTGTATGTGGGAAATGTTGGGTATGACAAGGAGTTGCTTTAAGGTGTTAAGGGAGTGGTCTCTATGGATAGGCAGTAAACACTCAGCACTGATTTAAGTGCCCCTAACTATGTGGATTTCTGCTGTGTCCCTCCACTTGTTTCAATGAAGTCATATTTTAAGCATCAAACTCTTTCCTTTCTATGCCTTATCACTTGAGAAGCTTTTGCTAGTTAGTCATCACTGTTTTAGATAAACTGAGTTTGCAAATATTATCAACTAGAGGCCCAGTGCACGAATTCGTGCACCAATGGGGTCCCTCGGTCTGGCCTGCGCCCTCCCGCAATCCGGGACCCCTTGGGAGATGTCAGATAGCTGGTTTCGGCCCGATCCCCGCAGGCCCGATCCAGACAGGAGGGAGCCCAATCCCCGCAGGCCTGATCCAGACAGAAGGTAGCCCAATCCTGTGCATTGAACGTCTGTCCCCTGGTGGTCAGTGCACGTCATAGCGACCAGTTGACTGGTCGTTCGGTCACTTAGGCTTTTATATATATATAGATAGATCATCAGAAGTTCAACTGCTCATGTCCTGTCAATACAGTTACTACCAAATATATAGTACCGATTACCAGTTGTGTCAT